TATGCAGTCCCCATCAATATATATTCAGGTTGCTTACAACTTTTAGTTCTTGCTGGCTGTGCTTCAGTAAATAACATTGCATATTTACATGTGTAAATATGTAGGATACATTTCTTTGGGTAGGATTACTTCTTTTAGACTTCTGTAGATACAGTCTAATTATTCTTTATAGTATAGAGATTTACATTCCAATCACCTTTACTGTAGAATGACTATTTTCTAACCCCTTCTCTAGTAACTATGTTATCAATATTTAGATTATTCATATTTGAAAAGTTTTATCAGTATAGTATTGGTTTGATTTTGTCTTTACATGCATGAGGTCAGACATCTTTTTCTATGTTTAAGAAACTTGGTTTACCTTTTCAGACTGTGTTCCAATTGGATTTTTTATTATTGATTTTAGGAACGCTTTATATATTAGGAAAATAACCTTTTGTCTAAGGTAAAAACTGTAAACATTTCCCTGGTTTGTCTTTTACTTTGCTTTAAAAGTTTTCTTGCCATGCCAAATTTATTTTTTATGTAGTTGATTATGTACTTATTGGTTTTTCTTAATAATTTTTTGGAGGGAGTTATATTATACTTAGACAAGTATTTTTCACTCTTAGATTATTTTTTTAAATCTCCCATATTTCTCATGGTACTTTCATGGTTTTATTTGTTTACTTTTACATTTAACTATGATTTGTTTGGAACTGATTTTGATGTAAGATGTGAGGATGGTTTCAGTTTTATTTTTTTCCTCTTCAATTGCTTCTTGTTCAGCCATCATTTATGAAGTACTTTGTTTTTCCCCACTGACTTAGGATGGCACCCTTATCATATGTTAAATTCTTGTATATTTTTGGGTCAGTTTTTTGACTTTCCATTCCATGTCCTTGATATATCTGTACATATTTGCTACCAGAATATATTCTAATCATTAGCTGTGATATAATTTAATATCTAAAAGGCTGATTCCTCCTCACTGTGGGACACATTTTTAAAGTGGTACCATAATGTTTTTTAAATTTCAGCTTTGCTGAGGTGTAATCAACATATAAAGTAGTAAGATATCTTAAGTGTACATCATGGTAATTTGATACATACATACATACATACATACATATACAAACATTGTGAAAAAAATTCCCCCCAGCTACTTAATTAGCATATTCATCACCTCACATATTTATTTTGTGTGTGTGTGTGTGAGAACATATTTGTTTTCCTCTCAGCAAATTTCAATTCTATAAGACAGCATTATCAATGATAGTCACCATGTTATACGTCAGACCCTCAAAACTTGCTCGTAGCTGAAAGTTTGTACCCTCACCAGCTCTCCCTTGTCCCCTACCTCTCCGGTTTTCCATTCTCTGTTTCCATGAGTTTGACTTTATTTTAGTTTCCACATGTGATACCATGCAGTATTTGTCCTTCTCATGATATTTACATAATAACTTGTATATTCATATGACTACATTTTCCCTACTGATGACAAATTGCCTTCCCCATGTACAGGGTATCAGAAAGCTGGTAAATTCCAAAATAATGATGTATAAGTTCAGCTAAGATTGTGGGGGTAGCCTTCCCATAATTACCAGTTCATGTGTTTTTCTTGACAAGTGAAATCTGATGAAAGGGAACATCTTCAGCAACGATTCTGAAGAGGCGAATGCCTGCTGCTCACTCGGATGGTGTAGGGGAGGGAGAGCTCTGTGAGTGAAGGCAGGAATGGCCTTAAGACCAAGTAGCACACGTCTGTGGGAATTAATGAAGGATGGACTGAAGATTTCAAAGCTCGTGTGGTTTTCATACTCTAGGTTACCTACGGTTTTGTAATATATAGGAAATCACATTTTTAGAAGTTAAGTCAGTGAGGGAAAGCACAGTTTTTTTTATTCTCCTGCATTGACCATAGTTTTATAAAAGTGAATTTCTAAGTGCCTTTTCTTTGCATTGGGCTTCTTGGCAAGAAATGAAATCTGTAGATTGCATTACTTCTGAGCTTTTTCTTAAGGCGCTCAAGGACAGACATATGGGTAGTAGTTTAAAAATATAAATATGGTCTTTCCAGTCATAGAAACCTTCCGCTCCAAGAGGTGCTTCTCCCGCTTCCAAAAATTGTAGGGCTATATATACATACTCATAAAGCACTGAGGCAAAATACATGGTATCCGACTCTAAAAATATCCCCACTGTACTTTTCTTGAGTACTGCAGGCCTATGATCAGACAGAGTGACTTATAGTCAAAGCTTGATGCCAAGTTGCTGTACCATCTTCTAGCCACCAAGCCCTGTAAATAAGCATTTCTGCTTGGTAAAATTACAGAAGGGATGCTGTTTGGTAAGATATTTTGTTCTATTTTAGTCTGTATAATTCATCTAGGAGATGGCTGCCTCTTGGTTTTCTCACATACTTAGACCGTTTGTCTGTGTGCGTGGTATGTCTGGAGTATGGTGTATTGTGAAGCGTCATTATAGAAACTTATCCACCCCGACTTCAGTATTGACTTGCCCTGATCTCCAGCAGCCTCTTTTGAGTCTACATTGGGGGAGATTTGACACTTTCTGGTGTACGGACACACATGTGCTGGCAGTTCTGGAGTTGACGGAGGCTCCGTTAGGAAAGGCCACTGCCAGTCTAGAATTAGTTTGAAAAGAGTTCTGTCTAAATGGATCTGCAGCCTTCCTTACTGAGCATTCAAATATGAAACGGTTCAGTCTTATTGGGGTACTGTGATCTAAGGTTGGCAGATGTAATTTGCATAGTCCAAATTTTCGTAAGTGGGCTAATGAATACAGCAATAGGGCCTGCACCAGATGTCAGTTGTGATGATAATTTCATTTCTACGAAGCAGAGAGTTGTGGAACACGTGCTAAATGTTCCTTGGTAAATGTTAAGTCCTTCAAAGGCAAGGACTATTCTTACTCATCTTTATATTGCCAGCACAGTGCCTGGTGCAGAATTGCTATTTATTCCTTTTTTTGAATGAATAAATGAGTGAATGAAACTCCCACCATCTAAAGATTGCAATCACGAGAGTACAATGTGTCCTGGAAATAGAGACGTGTAAGCGTGCCCATGCTTGCTGCTCCACTCCAATCGAGAAGGAAACGTACTTCCTTCTCATAGTCTTAGAAAGAAACACAGTCACTTAAAAATTACTCTCTTCATTAAAAGTAAGTGTATACTCATTTTTAATGCCACATTAGTTTCTGTGGAATTCCTAGAAAGTAGTTTCTACAATTAAAGAAAAAATATTTCTGTTAGCTTTTGGGACAACTGTTGTCCAGTAGTTTGAAGAAAAACACACGATACCTTTCATCCAGTGTGTGTGTGTGTGTGTGTGTGTGTGTGTGTGTGCACGTGCAGAATGACTTGGGGCCGGAGGTCACTGGGTCTAGATTAATCAAGACAGGATCAGAACAATTTCTGTTTTCCAGAACATTATTTTTCATGTATTGGCTTTTTTTCTGTACTAATTTTGCTTAAATTACCTATCAAAGCAGCCACATATATGATGCTTAGCTGTGATCCTAATCATAAATAGATTTCTATTTATTTAGGAGGCCATGTGATTCAGTTTGCCTTGTCAGTGATGTTAGGAATGCACTGTTTAAACTCATCTTGCTTGCCAATATTCCTGTTGAATACATTTCTCAATATGAGAATCATAGGAATGTATTAGTTTGGCTTTTGGCCTTTGCTGTCTTATTTACAGTTACGCATTTTGAGTTTGTTAATCAGTATCGTAGCATCCCTTCTCCTCCAGTAATTTTCAATCAATTACGCAAGAGAGGTTTTGAAATCTTCACTGAATGGGTAGGTATGGATTCACAGTAGGACACTACAAAGCACCCCTCCCCTCCCTCCCAATTTGTCGTTCCTTTGTGAAGAGGTGGGGATGAATGGTGGAGCAGAACATTTTAGACTATTGTGACTAAATTAGCTATGACTAGAAGAAATCAAAAGAAACTTTAGGAACAAATTATAGAATGCCACCAGGGCTGATACTTCATTTGAGATGCTCAATTCAGAATGGAACCTATTTCTTTTATGTTGACATAATGATTAGCTATTTTTAAAAACACCCCCATTCATACCTTTACCATTTAGGTTACAATCCTGTGTTAAACTCAAAGTTCAAGGTTCTTTGTTCAAGTAAAAGTTGCAGCTAAATATTAAGATGTTCTCAAATATGGCATGTTTGAACTGAATTTTAGAGCCAGCAAAGAGGCTATGGCTCAGGAAATTGAGTGATTTTTCCAATTTTTTGCCAGAGACAGGTCTAGGGCTTTAGTTGTCTGATCCCCTAAATTGGTACTTTTCCCACCACACTATGTCATAGAAAACCATTTTTTGAAAATTTGTGATCCTAGAGCATTTGATCCCAGGATGACTTTCAAATTTGATGTTTAATCTCAGAGCACTTAAAATTTTTGATGTGTTAAATCTTTGATGGTCCCCAGTGCGAGGCAGGGACCATAAACTCTGGCCTCTGGGCTTGATCTAGCCCACCACCTGTTTTTGTGTATAATGTTTTATTGGGAACACAGTCACTCCCATTCATTTATGCATTGCCTGTGGTGCTACAATGTCAGAATAAGTAGTTGCAATGGAGATCATATGACCTGCAAAGCCTAAAATATTTACTATTGGGGCTTTATAGAAAAAGTTTGCTGACCTTTAGTGTAAAGTAAGAGTGAAAAAATTACCTTAAAGTCACACTATCAGTTTGCAATAAATTGTGAATGGTGTGTGCTTTCTGAAAGGACTAAAAGGTTAGCATATTATTGAGAGGTATGAATGATCTGTCAAAAGACAAAAGAAAGCCTACCAGCATACAGTAAAATAGGACTAGATTTTTAGAGAGCCTCAGAGATTCTAGTTGTCAGAATGAAGCCTGTAACTTAAACGGCATTGACTCAAGATGGGAAATGCTTCAGACTGTCCGTTATGCTGCTCTAGTCCCTATGGAGCTCCAACACTCACCAGATGTCCTTGTCCTTGGCAGGTGGAGTGGATTCAACAGCAAGTGGTGAAAAAACGGACCAAGAGGGATTATGACTTCAGTCGCGCCCAGTCTACTTACTTCAATGACCCCAAGTGGCCAAGCATGTGGTATATGGTAAGCTTGCCTGGCCTGCGCCCGGGCAGTCTGACATTGTATTGTGCAGGGGACATCTGCTGAAACACAGAAAAACAGTGCCCGGGGGCTTCTTCCCATTTCAGGGAGTTGCTGTTTGAGATTGGCTGATGGCTTCTGATGTTTTCTGGATCTTTTTTTGAACTTAGCTCTCTGGTTATAAGGAGAAGGTGAAGTGAGTTCTGATTCGCAGAGCTTCTGTTTGAGTGCCAACTCTGTATAGTAGCTTTCTGAGTTGGAATAGAGGATAGAAAAATGTACCAAGGTGCAGACACCCTTAGACCTATCAATAATTGTGTTTACTTCTTTTTTAAAAAAATTTATATTTTTTATTTTTAGAGTGAGGGAAAGGGAAGGAGAAAGAGAGGGAGAGATAGATAGATACATCAATGTGTGGCTGCTTCTCACACACCCCCTACTAAGGACCTGGCCTGCAACCCGGGCATGTGCCCTGCCTGGGAATCAAACCAACACCCTTTGGTTTACAGGCCAGCACTCAGTCCACTGAGTCACACCAGCCAGGGCCGTGTTTACTTCTGATACACATTTATTCCACCTTGAAACCATTCCGGTTAGTGGAAACTGGCTCTTGGGAATCATTGAAATGACTGCTGATAAATAACAGATTCCTGACTTAGGTCATCTCATATGTGCCTTCTCACTTTAGGTAATAGTTTTTAAAACTAGACTACAAAAAAAAATGTTGGAAGGCATTCGACCTATAGCGGGTTCAGTGGCTCAAGTAAAACTTTCAGTGAGGGAAACTTACTTAACATATTGAGGAGAGTAAGCTAACAGTTCACTTGACCTTGCCTCCTTTGAAGATACATTTCTCTAGCCTCAGAGTTTTACTTTCATGATCCCTGAGGAATTGACTAGAATATGTTACTAATTCTTAATCATGAAATCCATATGTCACCAATTTGCTCTATAATCTGCAAAAAGACCTTTGGTATTCTGGCTTTTAAAGATTGTTATTGCTAATTTTTGGCTGTGCACTTTCCCCTAATCAACTTTATTTTTTGCAATCCTTGTTCCTGCTTCTTTGTAAATCCATAGCATTTTGCATAGCTGCCTGCTGCTTCCCTGCCTCCTGGCCTTTCCTTCTTGTGCCCCGAGTGCTCTTCCTGCCCTTCCTCACCTCTTCAGGTCAGCACCCCCCCTCCACCCCCACCCCGCCGTCCTTCAGAGCCCCTACCCAGCACCCAGGCTTCCTGCTCCAGCTCCCCGTGTCCTCATCTGCCTGTCTTTTCCTCCCTCTGCTCCCGGCCCTCAGCCCTCTGTCCCTACTGCTCATGGCATCCTCCACTTGGCCCTTTGTTTCCTAGTTATCCGTACTTTTAAAAAATCTCCTGTTCCAGTGAAGAAGTCACTTATACCCCCCACACCCACCCAAGAATATAACTCAGGACCTCGCAGTGCTGGGAGTATGTGTTTATTTGGAGATGGGTGCATGTGGCTGGCATTTCCTCCAATTTCCCATTCCTTCATCTTACCCAGAAGTAGAAGGTCGTGCAAACATTTTGGACCCTAATCAGAATTTTACACAGAAAACTTTTTCATGCACGAGGAAGAAAAAATAGGAGCCATAAAGCTAACTTCAAAGGGAGGTGGGACTCTAAACAGCATTTAAGTAGCGATCACCTGAGGGGACAGTAAGACACTTGACAGCCTGTTAGCTCTGAAACCAAGAAAGATTCAACCACAGGGGAAGGCGTTAGGGGGAGTATTCGCAGGAGCTAAGGAGCTTTGTCTGACAAAATGATAAGAATGTAATAGGATTAAGAAATAGGATGGAAGCAAAATCCATCTCTTCTCTGGTTTATAAGGCCAGGGGGAGGGAGACCCTCCTTGCCTTACTTTGCTTCTTGCAAGAAAGAGCCAAATTGCTGTCTGTGCTGATCCCACTGGATGGTGGAAGCAAAGGGCTACTTCCCCAATGCTCTCCTCACTCCAGCAAGGGCAGGCTGGGCTCTCGCAGGCCGGGGTGTCTCCAAAGGTTTCAGTGCTTGTACAGTGAAATCTCTTGACTCTCAGGAACCACTGCTATGTCTTGGGAACCTCTCTTTCCATAGCAGGATAGCTTGAGGGAAGGACTTGTGTTGGGCCACTTAAAATGTGGAATGTTTTCCAACACATTCTGATAGTAATTCATATAGATGACACTTATTGAGCACTTACTGTATGCTAGTCAATGTTCTAATACTTGGAGTATTTGTCTAACGTAGTGCAAACAAAAGTGTGTGTTCATATTGGCCCTGTTGTAAGAGTGAGGAAGCGGAGGCTCGTGGCATTTAGGTCACTGGCCCAAGATCACCTGGCCTGCAAACGGTAGAGCAGAGCTGCCAAGTCGACAGGGGTAACCTGACACCCTTCTGCTGTTTACAAGGCTATCATTACTCCAGCTTTCCAGGAACTTCTAATCTGTCCAAAGAGAAATGGCTGAAATACAAGGCAGGATGGCGGCTGCCATGTGGGATGAACAAGGGGTGCTGGGAACAACTGAAGCACTTGAAAGAGTCCTATTAAATGATTACTTTCCCCTTGATAAAAGGGCTGGGAGATCAGTTACACACTTCATGTGCATGTGTCAGGAAGAGTATGACAGAGTGGGAGCCAGAACTTCAAATCTGCAGATGTGGATTCAGGTCCCCGCCGCTTCACTGACTATGCCCGTGGCTGAATCACTTCAGCTCTTGTCAACTAGAAAGAGTATTTAGCTCTCAGGTATGCCTGTGCAATGCTGCATAACAAATCACGGAACCTAGTTTTTAGAACAATTATCTCATTGGCTCCGTAGGGCAGCCATTCAGACTGGGCCCAGGACTGATGGCCTCTCTGTTCTGTGATGTTTGGGCCTTCAGCTGGAAGACGTAGAGGCTTGAATGGAGCTGGCGGGTCACTTCTGAGGTGGCCTGGTCAATGGTTGGGTCCTCTCCCTGTGGGTGTCATCACAGGGTTGCTCAAGCGTCCGAGTGACATGTCTCCAACTTCCCCCAGAGTCAGTGATTCAAGAGGTCGTGTTGGAAGTGATGATGCCTTTTGTCATCTAATTAGAAGTCACTGACAGTTACTTCTGGAATATTCTATTGGCCACATGTACTAGCTCTGATTCAGTGAACAAGAGGGACTGCACAGGGTGCATATACTAGGAGGCAAGGGTTGTTAGGAAGCTGGTTACCACAAGTAAATAAAATACTACGTGAGAAGCCTTTAGCACAGTGCCTGACACTAGAAAACCCTCAATAAATCATCATGGTTTTCATTGTTGTTCTTGGACTTCTAAACTACAATACATGCTATTTCCTTTTTATGTGTTCTTTAAACTGCTACTGGTCCAAGCAGGGTGGGATGCGGGCCCAGTGGGCATTCTTCAGAGCACCCTGGTGCCACAGCAGAGGCCAGGGGCCGGTTTCCTCCTCCTCCCTATTCGTGAGCCCTGGGACCTTCTGCAGAGTGTTTGAGGGCTGCTTGACGAGTCTCCATAGGGTCCTGCCTTCAGCTCATTAGCCTGGTCCTGGTCCTGTCATTCTGTATTCATCACAGGAGAATGGAGATTAAAGAATGGCATGAAGTGTGCCTGAGTGTCTCTTTTAATTAATTTAAAAGCTTTGCCCCTGTCTCTCCTCCCCTTGGAGTCTGGTATGTGAAACCAGTATGTCTAGCCTTTAGGCTTGGGCAATATATTTAGGGAAATGTGCTCTCTTACAAGAGTTGGTTATAGAGATGATGGCTGTATAATTACTCCTCTGTCCCGCATGGCTCGCTCAGGCTTGGAGGGAGGGCCCAGGAACAGAGCTTACTTCCTATAGCATCAGCCATCTTCCGTACCTACTTGTTGGTGGCATGGTAGCCAGCACTGACGATTTAGGAAACATGACTTGTGCTTCCTAAGGAGATCTGTAAAGCGGGAGAGGACTGTGTAAGTGCCTATGGAAACTTGATATGCAAACAACCCCTCCTAAAATTTTTTGACATCAGGTGCATACAGTGAGCACCTGCTTCCAGGCTGTGATGTTTGCTTGCAGGTTGCTTCTCCCATTAAAACATTCTGAGTAGGTTTTACAACACAGCCAAGCTTGGGTAGCACTATCAGAGATTTTTTGCTGTGCTATGGAGGAGGGGTCAGGCAGCGGGGTTTCTTCAGAATTCCCTGGGTGATTCTGATGTGCAGCCAGGAATCCTGTGTAATCGAGTGCCCAAGTCTGGCAGGTGGTAAATATGCAATAAATGCTAATCAAATAAATAGATTGAGTAAACTGGGATAGAAGCAAATCTGTTATAATCTCCATAGTGGAGAAAAATAACGCTCACATCTACTGAGCACTTAGTATGTGACAAGCGTTTTGCCAGACTTTTACAGGTATTGTTGTCTTATTGCCAGTGTTTGATGAGTTAGGAGCTACTATTACCTTCATTTTACAGATGAGGAAACTAAAGCATAGACAAGTAATCTGGTCCAAGTCACAGCACTTAGCAGGGGCAGATCCTAGTATTCGACCCCAGTCACTCTGACTCCGGAGGCTAGACTTCCAACCTGTTCATTCCTGCTTCTCAAAGTAGCAGTCATCCGAATCATGTGGGAGGATTATTGCCCACTCTTCTCGCATTCCCCCAACAGAGATCTGGGAGTTTGCATTTTTAACAAGTTTGCTAGGATTCGGGGTCCCATTTGAGATCTCTCGGTGCTCTCATGTATTAAACATGAGGTTTCTGTGGGCACTGCTGGCTTCCATCTTCCCATTATCAGCTGAGGGAAGAAGGGCTTTTAAATTTATGGGACATTTTAAAGTATACTTGGTCAATTTATCTTGTTTTTCTTGATCTTATACCTTTTACTTACCGACAAAATTCTCTATCTGGGAAGCTGGCAGCTTTAATATGAGAAGATGTTATCACTTTTCTTACACAGATCGAAAATACCCTTGGTTTATATATATTCTTTCAGGATGCTCCACAGACAAAGGATATCTGATAGGAAA